CCCAATTCTATTGGGCAAAATCCACTAGTCAAGTTCTGAGTTTCAATTGAGCAGAACTCAATCGTTCAAGTCCACGTGGCTCTGTCACTGGGCAAGTATCCTCCTTCCCAGACTCATCAGTCTGGGACTTCAGATACTCTCCAAATCGGTGGCAGACATCCTACAAGCACGCCCAGGGGCCCTAGGGTTTGGTTGTCCCCTAGTCTACAAGGGGCATTTCCACATGTAAAAATCCCAGGTCAAAATCATCTCAGCCATTTCAGAACTTCAGACACCTAAAGCACCTCACACCCTGGGCCCAGAGGGAGTGTATCTCAACAAAAACACCACAAGAGGTGTCAAACTGTGGGCTTGGTCAATTAATTAACCCAGGCTTTAAGTCAGTCAGAGAAGAGACTACACTGCTGCTTGGGCTATCAAGAGCAGCAGCAGAAAGCCCACATGTCCAGCTGAGAAGAGAAACAGGCTAGGAAGACCCAATGCATGTTCCCTTTGCCCCAGGCTCTTTGTGTAAAGAGGGCAATGCCAAGTGCAGGGACTCTGCACACCTGAAGTGTCAACCTGTTTCCCATGGCTGTTGCCCTTCCAGCAGGAAGCCCGGAAAGAGGGGTGCCAGGGAGAGCAAGGAGACATGACAGGAAGGAAGAGAGACAGCACCTGGGAGAGAAAGAGGACTAAGGAAAAATCAACACGGAGGGACAGAAGGACTTTTGACTTTTAACAACTTTATTTCACAAAAGATCAGGTACAGAAAGCAAAAAACCGTCAAACCACACCAAAGAGAAACCATTCCAGGATATTCAGAACATCACACCGTGACAAATACCTTTGCAGTAATACACATCATGTCTAACATGCTATATATAGCCCTCAAGAAACGAACAATTCCACCCTTCCCTGTCCCATAGTACACGTACAAAAACCTTCAACTTCTCACCCCGAGAAAATTTCACAGAGAAATATCACGTGTCTGTCATTAATGAGAGATGGCGCTCCGCTCCCCGCACAGCACTCTGCAAAAAGTCCATTACCGGGGCGGGGGTGCCCTAACTCCGGGGGGCCCAAGGCGGCGCGGCACTCAGGGGGCTGGTACCCGGCGGGGGGGTGAGGTGCCCGGTCTGCGACGTGAAGACTGAGACGGGTGAGGGGGAGCGGGCGCCCCGTGCCCCGTGTGTGACAGCCCCCCGGCTGCTCAGCACCCACGCGCGGCACCTGGCTCCTGTGGGCAGCCCCTGCTGGGGGGAGGAGGTGCTGCCCTCTTCCCGCGGCCGGGCGGGCGGGCGAGGCTCCTACCTTCGAAGAAGCGCTGCAGAGCCTCCGTCTCGTCCACCACCTCCATAGCTGGGCCATGCACGGGGCGGGCAGGCTAGAGGGCGAGCCCGGCGCGGGGCAGCCCCGGGGGCCCCG